ATGTAGGAAAATTAATCTAAGGGAAAATTAATCAGATTATTTAATGATTTAATTTTCTAAAAGTTTACATGTTGATTTTTCGGAATAAACTGGAAGGATACTTAAAACGAGCTTGTTCCCCTCCCCTCACTCCCGTCCTATAAATGACCGTGGGTCAAAGAGAAGTCGCGGACTAGAAATTTATTGGGGGTGGGTGACTCACCCTTCACTAATGGCTCATTGTACTCCCCAACAGCGGCGGCCTGCATCGCGGCTCCATACCGATACTCGCCATTATTGGTACCAATTTCAGAGCATTGAGGGAGTTACTGTTAACATTTTACTGATACACTACTTTATATTATGTACAGTATAAAATAAATATGTAAAGAATAAATTATTTGAACCTTCACTTGAACCGTTTTTATTATATTTGATGATTATTTTTGATTAAATCATGAAATAAATCAATATGACAATGATATAAAAATCAATAATAGTTCACATGCTTAATATTAGCAGATTAGCGGGATATTCAGGTCAATCCAATCTGGGATGTTAGGGATTAGAAAAAAATTATGTGATTTTAATGCTATCTGAATCAGAATTGAGTGAATATAATACTACTTGCTTGAACAAGACTGATATAATATAGTGATGCAATCATGTAGAACAGGTGTAGGAAAGATATTCATTTATGACATTGTCAAGGTTATTAAATGAAGACAAATCTTTTATAATCGTATCTTAACGGTAAGTCGATTTTGGCACTACCTATCACTCTTGAAATAAGTTTTCATAATTGATACTCTGAAAAAAAAAATAAAAAACCAAATCGCCCTCAGTGTAATGGCCACACAATGCCTCGTGGGATAATGATGATCAGTCGAAGGTGAAAGTTTACAGTAGATACTTAACTGCTAGGCAGGAGAGAGTAATTACAGAAGTTTACTGCTCAAGTCTTGGATAACTGACCTAAAAACCTCTCCGGCTTCAGTTTATCTATGGCGGTTCTCAATACGAAGACCGAATCTTATAGAACGATATAATTTAGTTATTACAAGATGGAGAGTAAAGGTCAACATAAGTGGTGATAACTTTATATATATATAAATAATAAAATCTCATTGTATTATTTATAATTCATATGGTTGAAGTTCATTTATAGTAAAACAATTTTGAAGCACTGATAATAACATTTGCAGTACGATGAAGAACCGACATGAACCGGATGACTCACGAGATCACAATGTGACGGAACTAAACTACGCAATCAAGTAACCTCATTGCAGGAAAATGATGCTTGGAAACTTTGTGGAGTATTTGCCACCACGCACAAAGCAAGTTTAATAAGTTTTCTTAATGGTTATAAACAGAAATAAATCGGAAACTATTATTACCTTAAACAACTTGACTTAGATATTAATTATATATAAATAAAATCTTATAAATCGTATAAAATCTACAACGAAACTATAGCATGGTTTTAGAATTTGTACTAGACTTCAAAACATAATGTGTACTTAGGTCATTTTTTTACACAATAATTGTATTATTGTCAGCGTGACTCTGCATTTAGCTATATTCTTCTATTATTACTATTAGGAAAAATATCGGGGTAGACTTATGGTCAAGTTTTAAAACTAATTAAGGGATACATTACATTGCCCTATCAAGAATTGAGGATAGGTCGGCTATGTACTCTTCTAGACAAATTAGATTATTTTCGGAAATCTAGGAATGGCGGAACAGCACCAGTATTTTTAATTTGAATAAAAAAAGAGCTTAACACAACAATACTGTAAGTTAAGTTGCAGTTTAATATTATTTTCCTGATACGCCTAGCGGGAAAATATGTTAACAATTCTGACATGTTAAAAATCAAGAAATTTATGATGGTAGAAGAATTGTTGGCTGACGATTCTTTTAACAGAAGTTAGTAGGGGGAGAGCGATGCTTGCAGTTTCATTGGTAATCACCACTAGTGGGTTGGAAACAGAAGTACTTACTACAATTTCTATGAAATAGCTTTGGATGAGAAAACATGTATAAGGCCAGTTACAAATAACTGGTTTAATCAGAAACATCCAAATATGAATTTTTAAAAATCTATAAGATAAACTGGCAAATACTATTTAAAATTCTTCAGATCATATTAAAAAGTTGTTAAGGAAATATATATCTTGATACAGCAAAAATTGCTCAGTAACATAAGTTCGTAACGTCATTATTCCGAATGCAATTTGTGATCATATTAGCGATTTATTTTTTCAAACATAGATTATTACTTAGTTTTAAAAGTATTTTTTTTTACATCGTCATCCACAATTTAACTAATAGCGAAGAAAAAAAAATATAATAAAGGCTGACAGAAACTATCGGGAAGGTAATGAAGGAGCGGAGGAACGGTAGGCATGAGGGCAGATGCTATGGAGCAGCTGCTACGGCCAACTGTCTGTGGGGCCACCATATTGTGCCACAGCACCAGTTGCTACCAACGGTCCACAAGGTGTAGCTAGTTCTTTCTTCTTTCAAGGGCGGTCTCTGGCCAAGCAACAACCTGGCCGGGGGGAAGGACATTTAGCCCAGAGGAGTAAAGAAAAAAAAATGGAAAGAAATATTAATCAATAAGTTAATAAAAAAATAATCAATTCAGATTTACTTTAACGTCAATAATTTTCAATAAGTTAAATAGCAACAACATCGTAGGAAGAAAACTAACAATATATTTAATCGCCACCACGGACCGACTACTTCCTCTTAAATATAGTTAATCGTATCAAGCCGGACTTAGATATCAGCTAATAACCACAAAAACGCAGTAGTCTTTGACAACTTACAAGAGTTGTAATATATATTACATATATCAGTGAAGAGATTTAGTTTATAATTATAGAGATCTCAGAGAAATTACACGCTTTGAGGTCCACTAAACCCAAATACGTTTTAAAAAACATAGTCATCATCCATAGTTTTTTAACACTTTTTAATTTCCAACGTTCTCGTAAAAAGAAGCAAAACCGGCAGTTAAAACCAAAGCTTTTCTTTTTCTTCAAATGGGTTTTCTTTATGTTGTCCCAGAAAAATTTATTTTCAAAATATAGCTTTTTTTCCTATACTTATTAAGTTTACGTATTATCTAGGTAAATTAAATTCAGAACATTGGGTCCAACAAAAATGTTTAAACAAATAGGATGAAAACGCACTGTGTTGAAAAGAATAAATAAAATAAAAGGACTAGACAGAAAGCCATGATAATCCGTCCAATTATTTTAAACGAAATATTAATATAACCGTAAAAAGTTCAAAAATAAAAACAATAATGTTTTAACAAAAGATTTTAAAATGAAATTTTGAGAAGAAAGTAAATTCGTTTCATTACTTTTTTTTAAATGGGGAAATAACGGATTTGCCACACGAAAGAATCTGAAACCAAACCCCCCTCTCCTCATCGCCCATGTTAAGTTAAAAAGTATAAAATATAAATATTTGTAGTTTCAGTATTGCTCTAAAAAACACATTTTGAAATTAGGTTAAAGCATAATTACAATAATAGGGAATTAATGAATTAATTTTTTTCAAAAAATGGAATGAGAGGCTTTTTAACTACTCAGAACTAATTTGTTTTTCTTCACTACTCTTGGATAACTGAAATAACGAAAATTAATTTACAAAAACTAAGCGACCCGCAGATACCAACTTAAACATCTAATATATATAATATAATTTAATGTGCATATTAATATATATGAAGTAAAACAAATCATAAAATCCTTCTTTTAAAAATAATAAATGTAAAAAATAATAGGCACGTATTCAAATTCAACTACAGATGCCGCTACTAAAAATTGACAATATGAGATTTATGATGTTCATGATACCGATAAGGGAACGGTCTTTTTAAATAATTGTTGACTTACTTTAACGCTAATATTTTCACATGGATTAAGAAGATTATACAAAGCGAAACCGTTAAAATAATTAGCAGTCAAACGGCGCGGACAGATTACTGTCTTAACTCAATATCGGAGAGAGAAGAAAATCTCGTATTAAACAAAGTTTCTGTAGTGAGAAAAAAATTCTTTGTTTCCAGTTGTTTTTTTTAACGACATCGTGAATTGAAAAAAAAAGTTAAATAAATCAAAGGAGATTTCGCAGAATATTTTAATTTATAGGATTAATTCCTGGTTCTTTAATCGGAAAGTCATTGACATTTAATACTTAGTAAAAATCATTATATACAAATTATTTTATATACCAATAAAAAAACTATTGTTTAACGTCGGTATGGTACAGAAGATGGAAAACAAAAGCTTGAATGAATTATACATTCGCGATTCTGTAATATTCCTACATTATTTGATTTATACAATATTTTCGGGTGCCTTGTTGTCGGAAGGGCAACTTATCCTAATACTTAAAATATATATTGAATGATTGAATCATTATACTTCTTTGCCAGTCCACAAAATGAGCTTATTCCTAAAGAGACAAGAAGAAATAATTTATATGAGCACAAAGTATAAAATGATTGATTATAGACATATAATTCCTTAAATTCCCTCTCCCTCCCACAAAAAAAAAGTCGGGATCGACGGGCACATATAGAGCATAATGGATTTTGAAAACATATTTGAATTGGTTAATTATTTACAATAATCGGGAGGAATATATATATATATATATATATATATATATATATACATATATTTCACCCTAAAAATTAAAATTTCCTTATTTCTGAATTCTGTAACCATTAGGCCACTGATCAACGGCGCCAATATTCTTGAGAGACGACAAAAAGCGTCAATAAGATTAGGAATTAATTTTATTGGCGAATAATTAAGGAACCTCTTCCATTGACGCAAGTGTTCGAAATCATTCATAATAAAATTTTTATGGGTTATGGTGGTGAGCGGTTTTCTTTATATGATTCCAACCGGTAACTCATAAAAAAAGCCATTATCTTATAATACTTAATTAGAATGAAATTGAGTCGTGATAATTATTGTTGTACGTACCCTTTGAATAGGAAGCTGACAGGTAGTTATCCAATAGGTTGGCCGCATTCTTGGGATTGGCAGCGAGGGCCCGCAACGTCTCCAAACCAGACTTTCCCACAGATTGTTGCCTGAAAACGTTCAACTTCATATTAGCGTTAATTGGAAAGGGCATTAGCACTAAAGGCGGTCAATTACAGTTAAATAAGTAACTGTTTAAATGTTTTAACAGCGTGCTATTATTGATGACAATTCATCATCAAATAGGACAATACTGGATTCCTTTATCTCAAGTCTTAACACAATACAAATATATCTTTAACAATAAATCGGGTCCGAATAATAATTAAAATTATAAGGATTCTCCTAAAGTTGGCGGTAGCTAAATAATAAAAACTCTGTAGATAACATTAATCAGTATAATGTATACAAGAGTTTTAATTTGTAATATCAAAGCAACAAAATTTTATTTTTTTCCCCCTCCAGAAAACACATGATTTATTAAGTCTTACTTGCGTCACTTCGAAATTTGAGTATCGACAACCCAGCCACTCTACTTTTCTTTTTTAAAACAAACAATTGTTAGCTAATTTATTTATAAACTTATAAAAATAATAGCTTGTGAAGTCATAAATTTTTAAACCTCAATTGTTAAAATGTAATTAAATTTTGTGGATCATGCATCAAAAATGTATTATCTACATTATGTCTTGATCTTGCTATATTCCATATTTTGAAGAAAGAAAGATTTAATAATTATCAAATTAAAAAAAAAAAAATTGGAAATCACAAAGAAAAATATACATGGTCGGTTTACTGCACAAATCATAGAGTACACACTAAGTTTGTTACCATACTTCGATACTAAAACACAGGGAGTGAATAAAAATTTCACAAACCTTTTTAAACATTAAACATAGGTATATTAAAAATACGCTTTATTTTGATTTTCCCGAGAAAATTCATTAAATGTGATTTCATTTTATTTTTTTAGGTAGCAGGCACATACTGCACAGTTATTATTGGAACAAATTTTAGTTAAAACATCACCGACAAAAACACAAACGGAAATTACCATTAAAATTCGGATAATTGGATAATCGAGTTCATAAGTCTTTGTTTGGTTTACTTTATTTTTACAAAACTAAAAGCTTAAAGAATTTATTAATTAAAATAATCTTATATTTTGGAATACTTTTATGCGTTACTACTTAACATTTGCAAATTAATCTGTTATCTCCCAGCTAATCTGTTTTTTTCTTCTTTAACAAATTGCCATGTTATGTAATAACTAGTATATAAATAATAATAGCTTTATTATATTTAATGAGAAAATTAGTATTTTAAATTTTATATCGACAAAACTTATATTTATCTATAAATAACTAACATCTAAAAAATTTAGCCTCGTATTCCGCTCAATAGTAAGTCATTACGACAGTAATTTTTATTATCTGTTTAGATAAAATAGAATTGTATCACACTATCATATTTTTCTGGTCTCATATATAAAGACATTGATTTGAAATCATCTTTTAACAGTTTAAGTAATATAAAAATAAATGAATTTTGATTGTGGATTGATTGCTGACGGTAGTGAATAATTGAAGAGAATAATAGTTGGGATAATCAGTCAAAAAGGAAAGTAAAAGTAAGTAAGTACATTGAAAAGAAAGAAAGAAAGAAGAAAGAAAAAACAGCTAATAGGTAAGAGAAACTATAAACATTAAATAATAAAAAAGATATATTAAACAATCTTAGACTATTTTACATGTTCTTATAAGATCAGCATTTTTGTGACCATTGACAGCCTCTGTTATAATTTACAACTTTATTAGAGGAGTAACTTTCGGAGCCTGTGCACCATATTCATCTCTATAATAATAACACACCAAATAGGATACATTAATAAATTAATTAATGTGTATTAAATGTATTTGGTAGGGAGATATATATCCTCGAGATATTGACCAAATGTATGAATCTTTCAGTTGACAAAATGACTAACTCCAATTTCAATATTTTAGAGTAGAGCCGAATTAGTGATATTTCTTGTTGGAAAATTTATAATATCTGTAAAGACAGTGAATAAAGGTATATGCATTTTCCCACTAGAAATATCACTAAAATTATTTATAAAAAATGTTGAAATTGGAGTCGAGATGTGCCTTTCTGTTGACAGAATGGCACATAGGATGCTACGCACCGGAAAACTTCAAGAAGTTTCAAAATAAACGATAAGAATTTAAAAAGACTGACTACACACACATAACAAAAAAAAAAAAAAAATCCTACTGAAATAATAATAAATCTATTTCCCAACCATTGCCACCAAGTAGAATCCTAGTAGCACTTGAGCTTATTTTGTAGTTGAAGAGGTCTTTGACCCCACTCAACAAAGACAATTCCTTTCGCGCTCGGTATTAAAAGTGGAGCGAAAAGTGTGGCGTAGAAATGAGGATTGTTGAAAGGGTAAAGACACAGCGGTGACCTTCAGAGGATTCAATGAACTTTCTTAACATCCTCTGGTTTCCGTCGTCATCTGGCGGCGGCAACGACGCAACTCTCCTACAGGATCCCTCCGCCCGGGCTATACATACGTCCTGGGCACGAAGGGAGATGGGGCCGCTAGGGAAAACAGTGCGTATTAATAGAAGGAAAGAAGGGAGAGGGTAATGAGATAAGGTGACGTCAGCGGCGGTCGATGCACAGCGTCATTCACTCTCCGCAACCTCTCTTCCAAACCCCAAAACTTACAAGACGGAAAATAGCCCTCACTCCCTTGTACGATACGGAGTTGGAAAAAAAAAGAAAAAAAAAAAAAAAAAGAATAAACTATCCAATTCAGTTCTTTTTTTTTCCTGCTAGAGACTAAAATTATAATTGCCAATGCCAAGAATGCGTAAAATGAAACAAGCAAAAGACAACAAAATTCAATGTTTACAATACACATGGGATACCAATGAAACTATTTTTAAACATATAATTAACATTTAAATTTTAAACATTCTAAGCGAACAAAACAATACATTTCAGAACAAAAATAACGTAAATCACAACGTAATAACGTAAATTCAATGAGTGAGTGAATGAGGATGAACGGAATAAAAAAAAATAATATGAAATTATAGGTAAGTACTTCCCTCACTCTTAACTTGACAAAGGAACAGTTGAATGTTTACAGACTATGTTCTGAAACGAACACACTATAAATCGAGTTAAGGGTGGAATTCAAGTTTATTCATGATCAGACAATAATACTTAAATGAAAGGACACTAATCCTCTAATTGTCAAGTAAATCAATATACAGTATATAAAATAAATTTTTGAAAAATAACATGTGAGACATTATAACTTTGGAGAAATGTTAGCAAAAATTTTCTCCTCACAAATGATTGAAGTATTGAACAAGATACAGCTTATCACTGGAATGAGGGTGAACAGAAAAAAAAAATAAATTAAGATAATGGATACCGTTTGACAAAGTAAAAGTTCAAACTCGTACCAAATCTCTGTAAAAATACACAGCCCAAAAAATTATTTTCAAATCAAGAGACATCATTACATTGAAGAAATGTTTGAAAATTTCTTCATCAGAGACGAAGAATTAAGCCTTGGGCATTGGACGGGAAGAACTAGAAGTTGATACGTTCACCATTCCTATTCGAGGCCCTGGCTACACTAATTAGTGACTAATAAAGATCCGTACAGCCAAGACAGGACCTCCAGATATAATATAGAGAGGAGACACTGACCCTGAGGACTACAGGACAGATGGACGGAACGGTAAAGGCACGGTGGTAGGGGGATGCTATGTCTGGCTAACTGTCTCGGGTTGTTGGCTTGCCAAGGTCACTGCGTCCGGCGCCTCGCGAGCGCACCTTCTACGCTTCGGCTCTATCAGGATTAGTATGTACCCAATGTAACCTCCGGATCTAATAAGGGACATGTCATCATCTAGCAACCTATCTTAAACAAGTAAATCTAAGAGAGCCATCATCAGCTCCCAACACCAAGTCCACATCACCATACAATACATCTAATGTAATACGATAACGATTGCTTCAACTAGCAATAGACGTGTGCGGCGATTTACAAAAACATGAGATATCCTATTAGAATTCAAATTGACAACCTTGAAAATGCCTAGACATTCATGCCTTGCTTGAATACAAAGATAACAATTTAAATAATCTACTAAGCAGTAATTACACGAGCTCCCCCCCTTTATCGCAATGAATTTAGATATCAGACACGAGGCTGGTCTGAAGAGAAGTTCTATCTTAGAAACCCGAACTAATTTGCTCCAAGGGATGTCGAAAAATCGACAAGTTCAGGAAAAAGGTTGCTTAAAGATTAAAGCTGTGATAAATGTCTAAATTTTATATATAGTCTAGATACAAACGAGTTTAAAAAGATTGGGTAAGGATGTATATAAATTCCGAAACTTTAGATATTAGTTTTTTCAATATTTCTATGTTGTAGAATGGTTTTGATTAAGACACGATCCATAGCGAATTTCATATTGCACGCAATGATTTAAACGGGACATTACACCCCATCCTTGAGGCTTAATTGTCATTACGCGTATATATAAGGGAATTTCCGAAAATTCGTTTAGGTAAGCGGTGGGCGTTTATAAGAAAACTATTTTTCGCTTATTGCGTCCCTTTATTGGAAGATAACATTCCTCTCCCATTTTTTTTCTTATGAAAGCTTGTTTCATGGAAATTTTCCGACTAGTAAGATCACAATGTACGTAGACAACACGAATTTTAGGACCAATTTTAAAGGGAAAAACAAAAGAGAAACAGGATAACTACTTAATTATTAAATAAACACGTATTATCAATATAGACACCTATATATTTTAATTACTAATTTAAACCTTTGTCACCAGGCAAGACCTTTTCGAATTATAGCAAGAAAATTGATGCCAGTAAATCGTTCTCACCAGAGTTGCAGCCGACGCATTTTTTTAACGATTTTGTGCAGACACAGAGAGAAAGTTACGTAGGCGGTACATTAATAGACACTGAAAGTTACGAACAGTATACAACGAAATAACTTAAATGAAATAAAACAAATTGAGCAAGATCAGTAGATTAAAACCAAGTACGAGGTTCTACACA